AAACCTATTTAAGATTTGTTGTATCTCTACCAATTGTTTCAGTAAGTAATAATTCACGACAAAAAGCATTATATCAATAAATATTCAATATAAAGTTTAACTATTTCTCGTTAAAAGTTTCAAACATTCGATCTTTTTTAACACGAATCTATATTGATGATTATCATTAGTTTTCATATTAACTATAAATGATTAGAATCTTATTCAATTGTGTGTTTAGTTAAAAAAGATTATTTTTACATGACTTATATATGAATATCATAAAAGTTAAAAAATGAATGATCATAATAACATACAGCTTATCATTTTGAAGCTTTTCATTACATACAAACTTTATAACTCAAATTAAACTTTTGATAAGAAAAAAAATAATAATTTTTCCAAATCATACTTGAGTAATTGATTGCATATATGGTCTAACAATTCTTGGTGTATTTGCAATTAGTTGTCCTAATAATCTTGATGCTTGTTCTTTTCCACTTAATGAACAACCAATTTCTAATTCAGTTAATAATTGTAATAATAAATGTCTTAATGGTGGTAAAACATAAGCTGGATTTATATTTGATAAACGTCCAATAAGACTTAATGCTAATTCTCTTATTTCATGACATTCATCATGTACAGAAAAAAATAATAATTCTAATGCTTCAGATTTAGCTAAAAATTGTTTAAAATCATCTTGTAATGTTAGAAAAACATTATAACGTACATCAGGATCTAAATCTGTTACACCAATTGTTAATATTCGTTGTGTTATATGTCCTATTTTAATACGTAATTTATTAGCTGCTATTAATGATGATGTTGTATTTGATGATAATATTGTTTGTGATATTGGTAATAATAATTTTCTTAATAAATGTGTTATTGTTATAATTGATTCAATTCTAATACGTACAATATCATGTTCAATAAAACGTATATTTAATATATCAATAAAATATGGTTCAATAGCTTGTGCTTCAAAATCAAATATTCTTAATGTTTGTAATGCAATTATAACAATATCATTTTGTTCATTTGTTAAATTTGTATTATATGATAATGGATTACATAAAATTAAACGAAGATTTTCTAATAAACCTTGATGAATTTTACGTTTTGTATCTGTATGTATTAATGGCATTGAACATAATTTATCTAAACAAAATAATAATGAATGATTTAAACCACAATGTAATAAATATTCTAATAATATATCTAAACATTTCGATGCATCTGGACCAGCTTCACCAATCATGGTTATACAAGCGAAAACACTTGAATCAGGTGATGAATATCGACATGATAATAAATTATTTACTGATAATGATTGTTGTTGTAATGATGGATTTGATGATTGTGTTGAATTATTACGACGATGTGAATGTGTTGTTGTTAATGATGTATTTATTGATGATAGTGGTATAAATGTTTGTTTTAAACAATCTAATATTTTTGACATATCTTTTGTTATTGGTGTTGTTGTTATTAATAAATCTGTATCATTTATTCGACTTGTTTTATCAGCTAATATCATTAAACCTAATGCATGAAATGCTAATTGACGTTCTTTTAATTCACGTGAATTAATACGTTCAAATATAAAATTCATTGTTGCATCAACATATGGTTGATGAGAAAACAATTTATAATTTAATGATGCTAAACGTGGTAATATACGTATTAAAACATTAGCTATCATAGATTTTGGTTGTTGACGATATTGAAATACTTGATTACAAATATTGAGAAAATTTTCTAGCATTATTGAACGTATAAAAGATGATTGAACTTGAATTTGAGATTGTTCAGGATTATCAATTAAATCCATAGGTGATAATGGGCCAGTGCGTTCAAATGTTAAAGCAACACGAGCACGATGTACATCCTAAGAAATTAAAGTTTTTTTTTTTTAATTATTAACATAAATATTTATTTTAGATGAAATTGAAATAGAATGAAAGAATTTAACAATACATATAAGTTTTGATTGATCAGAAGAAAAAAATATTGAGTAATTCTTCTTTTCTCGTTAATAAATACAAAAGTAAAACTGATAAGTATATGTTGACCGATCGCTCGTAGAGATACGTCAATGCTAAATTCAGTTAAACATAAGAATTGGATGTGGTCCATTTCTAATCTCTAGTATAGTATAATATCTATATAAATCAACAAAGTCAGACTCTTTTGAGTTCTGGATCGTATTTTACACAATTCATTGGAGTACACAAGAATTCGTTTTTCTCTCTTGAATAGATTATGATAACTGTCAGTTCTTCAACCATTCATTTCAAACATTTGAAAGTGAATGCAGTGATCAAATCAGCATCGGTTAGTAGACGATAGACTCGGTCAGATCAGAATCTGAAACTTTTCTTCAACTTAGGTTCAACAATTTTGAACTTGATGGAAGGTAGCCGTCTGAGAAATGTGTAAAGTGTACTAGTCACCGAATACAAAATGACCAGGGAATAGTATCTCGTATCTTCAGAGCGACTATTCAATTTCGATTAGAAAAGTTAATTGAAAGTACGAAAGTACAGTTGAGTCGAGTCCGACTCCAAAAAATTTAGACTCGACGGGCTTTATCGATCGTTGTTATATAATGAAATTTTATTGATAGTTTACTACATCTATCTGAAAGCGTTTTTATAATCAATTCCATAGTTATATTATGAAAAATCGTGTGCCTTCAATAGATGCTGAAGCGATGAAATCGATAAGAGTTCCATTCTTCCAGTGTCTTCTAATTGAAGAATGACTTTTTTTTTTATTGCTGGTCTTTAAACGATCTTTTATTAGTTTATTACTATGTTCGAATGTTTGCTATAACATGTATGTTACAGTGAAAAGTAATTTTTAGTATTCATTTGCATTAATTATAAACTCATCTAAGCATTTACAATTATTGTTTTTTAATATAGATATTTATTCACATTCATCATCATCGTCACTATCAATTATTCATTTTATTGATCAGTATTATAGGTTTTTGTTTATAAAAGAGTTTTGATTTTTAACAAAATTTCTTATTCTTACTTTATATGAAATAGGTTTAGGTTTCGGTGCACTATATGGATGAATCAAATCTTGACAAATATTCTGTAAAAAAGAAGAATATCACAAATATAATATCGATAATTTCTCATTAAAGTTACTTCAAATTTGACATCTGATACTCGTAATAATTCATTAAGTAATAAAAGTCCTCCATGAATTCGATCTTCTCTTTGTGTATTTTTATGTTTTGTTGAATCAACTGTTAAACATTTCATTGCTTCTGTATAAGCCATCTAAATAAATAACAAACAAATCTCACATATGAAATAATTTCATTGAAAAAACAATTCAAACAAACATTATATGCTTTAATAAATGTATTGGATTCTGTACTGATAGCATGACTTATATTACTACTTGTTAAATCTTTTCCTGTTGTTATTTCACTACTATTATTTTTTTGTTCTTCACGTTCTCGATCAATAAGAACAATAAGTGTTGCATGCATTGTTTCAGCAAATGCTTCACGAATATATTGCTTAAAAAAAACAACAAATTAGAAAATTCATAAAATGAAACCTTTTTTTTTTGTTTTATACATACTTTTGGATCTGCCATTGTAACGAAAAGTTGTTCAAAAAATTGTTCAACAGGTGTTATTAAATGATAATAACGTGATGGAGCAGCAAGAGCAATTTCTCTTAAAATTGTTATACCACTATAACGTCTTGTTTCATGTTTTTCATCACGTGATATACGTTCAATTGCTTTAGGTACATCATGTGAAAACTGATCAATACTCATTCGACCACAACCCTATATTCAATTTCATTTGAATAAATAAATAGATCAATATGTTATTACTTTGACAAGAATACATGTTAATTTGACAACTAATTCACATAAATTAGCGTCAACTGACATTTGTTTATAACCGCGTAATGTTGGTTCTAATTTATTACTTAATTCAGTGTAGAAATTTTGTCCAACACAAATAAAACAAACTAAATATATAGAGATAGATAGATAGATAGATAGATTATATAATTATGAAGAAAAACAAAATAATTGAAACATACGAATAACAAGAAGGGCAGCGCGATTTTCATTGACATCATTTGGATTACCCATTTTCTTTCGAACAAAATCTTGTACTTGTTCAGCAATACTTGTAACAACATCAGATGGAGCCTATACATAGAGTAAAGACAAGCATTGAAGTTCGTTCCATTCAATTTTAGCCTCTAGTTTTCAACAATGGCATCCTCAATAGGTTTTTTACGAAATCAATGAGTATATCAATATGACTCAATTGGACTGAGAATGAGTTCTTTTTTTTTGTATTAACGCCTATAATACATCATCCTCAGATATCAATAATGATGTTGAAGACAGTGAGAAAGCACTCTCAATTATTAATTCTTTTATCTTTCGACTAATACTCTAGAAATTCCAAATCGAATAAAAGATTGTTTCATATTCAAAAATACTATTAACTATCCTTTTTTTCCTATTATTACAATCATCTAACATTATTCTATCTAAATTCTACAGCAAAAAAAATCAATGATTAATTAATTTTGTACAAAATATCTTGTTTAAACCATTTTTTAAGTGGAAAAATTTCATGCCAATCTGTTGAGAATTGATATAGATCTCACTTACATCAGCATATTGAGCAACAATACGTTCGTAGAGCTCGTCTGTTGCTCGACGACGTGTGTCTTCATTTGGACTCTGCAAATCACCGGCAAACTGCTCTAACAAAGCAGGAAACCGGGTATCTACCGTTGACATTTTTTTCAATCTGAAGAAACAAACTAAATTATTTTTTTTTCCTATGAACAATATATTTATATATATTGTTATGTGGTTTTCTTTTTTATGTAATCAATAACGCACATCACTTATTCGTAACAAGTATCAAACGCAAAAGAAAAACAACACAAAACGAGAAATATGACAGAACGAATACTATGTGTGTAAATATCCTAAAGACATTTGCTTAGCAATCAATGACGAGTTGATCGTTCCCACGGACTTTGTTCTTGTGTTTGAGTGTCTTCATTTTCATTTGATGGACGTTTTGGTTTTGTTTGTTTTAAATTAAGATCATTTTCAGTGTTTCGTTTTGATTCACTTGTATTTGGATTTCCAAAACGCCGTGTTGGTGACGATCCACTATCACTACGATTTAATCGTGAAAATGATTGATATTGCTGTTGATTACGACCTTCTTGACGAGAATATTCATTAAGTGATGAACTTCGATTACGAGTTGGAAATCGATCATTCTCATTATTACGTTGATAACCATCTCCAAAGGCGTTTTGTGAACTAAAAAAAAAAACAACGAATAATATTGTATAGAAACAAATTAAACCAAAGAAATTATCATCTTCAATATTTCATATAGATGTCATAGAATTGATTAATCAAAGATAACTTACATAAGATTTTAAAACGAAAACATCCTTCCATTTTCTTTAATAATAAAATTAACCATGTAATTAGATAAGGCTTTTCTTTCTTATTTGCGTGAGACACTCTTAATCATATGATGACAAAATACAGGGCTGTCGCGACACGCTTTTATTCTCTTGATTTTGATAAATGAAGGATTCATTTTGCTTGTCCTTCCGCAATCTATCAATAGTCGTAATATAACAATCAAAATTGTATCGATAAGAAAAACCTTGTTGATAGTTTAGCAATTTCAAAAGTGATTTGTGGAGAAGTATTAAAATTAACTTTAATTATCTATAACCTTTTCATTTACATTTTTCTCTTTCTTTATTCTCTGTGAGGCGTTTTTCTTTAACACAGTTGCATATTGACAGACTCAACAGTATTATTTATGAACATAGATCTACTTGGGAAATTTCGTTTTTTTGTAAGAAAAAAAACTTTATACGTCCATATAAATCTGTATTTAGTGTTAAGATTTCACATACCGTCGTTCATAACTAAGATCTTGTCTTTGAAAATTGTTATATCCAAATCGATTATCTCTATTAAATCCTCCAAATGATCGATTAAATCCACCTGTATTTCCTTGCCGGAAATTATTTGATTGTTGATTAAATTCTCCACGATTACGCTATAAAAACAATTTTAAAAATAATACATTTCTTTGGTTTTTTTTTCAATTTAATATTTACAAATTCTCCAACATTTCGTTGAAAGTTACCAAGAATATTTCGTTGTGTACCCTGTCTGGCAGGACCACGACGACTAAAATAAAATGAATTGATATTTCAAAAAATATACAAAAAAAAAAAGAATAGGATCAATGTACTTGATTGGTTCACCAAGAAATTCTGGTAAATCAGTTGTTGATAAACGATTATTTTTTAAAACCATTTTTGATAATTCTTCAAAACGTGTTAAAAGATTTGGATCATTTAATTTTTCAGCAGCCAATCGGATATGTCTCATCTATCAAAGGAAATTCTTCAATTATATCGAATGTGGCAAAAGTTTTACGACAGTCTTTGTTTTGCATATAAATTTGTTTAGGAATAGAATAACAAGTTGATGATTTCTTTATTTCAAACGATGTGCCATTATATATTCTACTCGAATCATGGAAGCAAATTTTTATGCGTATCATCATGTTATTTTTCACACGAGAAAAATGGATATTCATTTTATGATTGATAACTACGGTACGCTTTAATAAAATCAATGTTAAATAAAAATGGACTATTGCAGACGATGTGAAAAATCAAAATCGTTCATGACTTCAGTTATGCATCCTATGAGATGCGTTGAGGAAGTTTTATCTAGAAATTTGCGAATATAGTTCAGTGTTTTTTTAGACGATATATTTAATTACAGATTCAAATTCTTCGATTCCGTAAATTTCATATGAAATTGTGATTTTCGCTCAATAGATATTTCCAGATGAAAGAATTAAATCAATAAATTTGCTCGTTACTTTTCTCCTTGGTTAACAGTCTATTAAAAACTTCTAAAATAGATTCAAATAGAATGTTCAATAGCGCATCTTTTGAAAGAAAAGACATCAACATTTACTAGAGTTACATGCAAAACTTTTACTACACTTTGTAATTGTATATTACTAACCACAAGTGGAAAAACTCGTCGACGATCAGCACTGACTGGTGTTTGTTCCGCAAGTAACTGAACAACATTTATAGCTTCTTCAACTCGTTCCATATCAGCATAACAAATAGCCTGAAAAAAAAAACCAATTTTAATCTTTGAATATATTCATTGAAAAACCATTCTCATACTCGAATATTTTTTATCATAGTATAGTTTTGTACTCGAACAGCGCCTAAAATTTCCATAGCAAATGATGGTTCACCCTAAAAATAAATTGACAATTAATTTTTAAATTGTAAAAATCTATTGTTTGTTTTCTTTCTTTTTTACTTGTTGAATAGCTAATAATGCAACCATAGCAGCTGTACGTGGATTTATATCAGAATCACGTTCTCTTACTTTAGAAATAATTTCTTTTGCTTTCACTAATGCTTCTTTTGTATTCTACGAAAAAAAATTTTTTTTTTTGTAATATTTTTATTTCAATAAAAATATTTTTACTTTTCGAAATAATCCTTCAATAGCTAACATAACAACATCTGATGGATATGTTCGTCCACTAGTTGTTGAAAATCCACGTTTACTACCATGTTCAAATACTTTAATTGCATCATCATAACGTTTTTCTTCAATTAATTTATTCATAAGAACAAGTGCTGATGCAGAATCATTGAATATATTTTTTAAATCCTATTTAAATATTTAAAATTAAAATTTTTATTAATTAAATTTCTTTTTTTTTTTTTTTTACTTCATTCATATATAATTCTAAAGCTAAATCAGTTTTATTTTGTATATAAAGTAAACGCATAATAGGTGAACCAAAATGATAATCACTAAATTTAACTTTATTTGTACTATATCTAAATACAAAATAAAAAAATAATTTAGAAAATAAAATATTAAAATTTTTGTTTTTTTGAAGACTTTTTTAATGCTTGAATAACAATATCAATTTCTTGATCATTATCAGCTGACATAATCATATTACGTAAATCTTCTGTAAAGATTTGAGAATTTGGTTCTTCAATAGAATCAACAAAACGCTTTTTAAAAGCATCTAAATGGAAAACAATAAATAACTAAAACTAAAATAATGAAATGAAATATTTACCAAGTGATGGTGCATAACGTGAAGCATGTTGATCTCGAGATAATTTAAAATTATCAATACCAATACCTGAACTTGAAAATACTGTACGAATTGGTATATGGAGTTTTCCACATGATGCACCTAGATAAAAAAAAAAGAAATTTTTTTTGTCATATAATTCAAAGATTGATATTTAATCAAAAGGTTATTTCTCATTTGTTTGAAAATAAAGATTTTCATACATTCGAAATCATCTTAGTAAATGTAAAAGCTTTGAGGATTTATTAATTATTATTTAATTGGAACTAGATTATTCTTTCTATGATCTGTCCAAGTAGTAAAATGAATATGGTTCGAATCTCATCAAGTGATCATCTTGAGAATAAATTATATAAATAGACTCATTGTTTCATGCCTAAGCTTAACTTGATAGGAACGTTGCACGAAAAAGAAAAAAAATAGTTGAAGTAACTATGCTCTATTTATTCAATCATAGACGGAAGCTTATCAAAAGTTAATTTTCCAATGTTTTAAATTTAAGTCAATAAAAGTCTGTACAGAATAATCTAGTGCATCGTCCGAGACAGAAAACTTACCATTACATTTCATGATACTATTCTAACTAGAATTCATAGTTGTTGTTTCTGGTTTTGCATCAGTTTGAAAACTCAAATCGGTTTAATGTTGGTCTCTCGGTCTCTACATAAATTATTATTCTCGAACAAGTTAATTCGTAATTAAAAAACTTAAATCAACTTACGATTGATAGCCAAAAGGGCAACTCGTCGAAGAATATCAGCCATCTAAAGCAAAAAAAAGAAACATGATTATCTAATCATTCTGTATAAAATATAAAAAAATGAGTGTCTATTCATATCCAAAATTATATCTTATTAGTTACTAATCATTCGAATAATATTTATTATTGTTTAAAAATCAATATATCTTGATCGTAGATATCTGATGACTCAGAAAAAAAAAAGGAATACTTAAAAATGTGACCGATTGAAATCAAAGTCAACATGTTAGGGTAAAAAAACAAGAAAAACAACATTAATATATGTATGGAATGTGTGGATTATCAGTAGAGATTTTCATTGGAGAAAAGAAAATATTCAAGTTCTTAAATATTCTAGATGATTTAATTTGAATAAAATTTCATCAAAGAAAAAATTAAAATGCTTTTCAAAAAATTTTTATAAGCAAATTTTTAGTTTTTTTTCATTGTTATAGATGTCACTTCAATTTTAGAGAAAAACGAAATAAGATGAAGTATTGGTTCGTCTACAGGATAGACACATTCCGTTGAATGATCGCTTTTATCATGCATTAATTTGCATTCATCTCACAAAACATAACCTTGCTTGTATTGTGTCAAAATGGCTGTATAAAAAAAAATCATCAGAGCAATAAGTAAGTTTTCCGACTGTAACATTTCAGTGTTTGTTCATGACTTGAGCACATTAAAGCGCGAATATTTTAATCAGTGACAGAACCAAAGGAGACTCAGCTAATTCCCAGTGACATTTTGGAAAGACGTATTTTTTTTCTTAATAAATTGAGCCAGATGGCTCAGCTCACCCTAGTTCTAGTTCTCAGCTTCGCCATCGAATTTGATGGTGATTCGAATGTATACTTCCTCGTTACATCCTTTTACTTTTTATACACCCAGAATAATACCATCGAGTCATATAAATATTTTCTACTGATTTAAAAGGTAATTTATTGAAGCCAGGGGATAAAACAAATAAGCTATACGCTAAGTTTTTCACTTCAACAAGAAAAATACAGGACAGATAAACATCATGGACTTGTTTAAATTGTGAAAACAAAACAAAACAAAACACTCCTGTTCCTGTATGCAACATAGTTCTATGTATCTATAGGGTAACAATTATTCAACTACACGAATGACGATTTATGATTGTTCTTTTCCTGTTGGTTTAGTATTCTGTTGTTCTTTTCCTGTTGGTTTAGTATTCTGTTGTTCTTCAAGCTTCAATGATGATAGAATATTTTCAGCACTTGTAGATTCAGCTGAAGTTGTATTTCCAGTAATTGTTGTTTCTTGCAATTCATGTGGTATAGTAAAATCATTTTTTGTTGATATTGATGTTTTGTTATCATGGTGTGGCACTTGTTTTTGATTATGATGTGAATTATTTGACTCACCATGATCATGTAAACTAAAATCAACTTTATCATCATGTTTCATTGTGTGGGTTGTAGATGCTACGTTTGATTGATGTTCTTTTCCAATTGTTATTTGACTTATTTCATCGTCAAGAGCATCAGGAAATGTTGGTTCATTTGCTGCTGCAGCATTAGCAGCAGCAACAGCAGCTGCACGAAATTGTTTATCAAGAGGAAGATGTGTAGCTGATGCTGGACGTGTAAATGAAGGTTTATATGCTTGATCGGTTGATGAAGGTTCTTTAGGTAGAATCTAAAATGAGAATTAATTAACGTTTGTATTTCATGTTTAATGAATTACTTTTTGGGATGATATTTGTAGTGGTGGTGGTGGTTGTAGGTGACTTTCATCTTCATCCTCAGTTCCTTCATCATCATGTTCAGGTGGTGCTGGTGTTGATGAACGAGATATAGCTGGTGTTGAAGGATTCGATGATGTTTCACTTGCCTGAAGAAAATATCCTAGAGAACATTAATAGAGAGAAAATATATACGAATTTGAGCATTTCTTCTTCGAATTCAGGATGAATACGTGTTAATGCCATTTGACGAGCGCGATAGTAATACTAAAACGAAAAAACGCATGATACAAAGTTCGATACTTACAAGGAAACTACCCAAAGTGATACACGTCATTTGAAATCATTTTGGACCCGTAGGTACGTCTCAGTCAGATTAGCAAAAAGCTAAAAGAGTTCGTTCCTATAGACCTTTGTCGCCGAGTTCTAATCAGTTTTACTGGATTTTCGATTCATTAGTAGGTAGTTCCCAATAAATCGAATGACAGATTTACGATCTAATATTTTGCCCACAGATACTGGATTTCCAAAAAATAGCCGTTTGCCACAGACATGTTACAAAAAAAAAACAAGTTCATTTGAAAACTCAATAACTTGACGAATGAACATTGTTTTCGACAAAATCTTTCAAGTTATTCTAAGAGCAATTATATCCATCTATAGACAAAATTTTGGATCAAAACTTCATCATACAATTTTCGTAGGAGTACCTGAAAATAGGTCAAAACTCGGCGTCAAAGACCAATGGAAATGAATCCTTTTAGGCTTTTATTATTCTCACTGAGACCTTCATGTAGTTTAATATGAATTCAAACGGCAAGTGTCGCTTGGAGTAGTTCTTTCGGTCGAAAAACATTTCAAATTTTATTTTCTTCTTCATAAGAACAACATTTACTAACGGATTCAAGTATGATAGCAAGAGTACATCGTCAAAATTTATACGGAATATTAATACAGAAGAAAAAAAAAATTCTGTATCCTCAATACATATAACAATTGAGTTCCAACTATGTAGATGACCTTGTCCGTTTTCTTATCTAAGATAGGTACTGAGCCTGATTTTCGAAACAATTGTAGGTCACGTCAGAATCTTAGACATGCAAGACAAATCGCTTGTCGTGTATGTTTTTCCGAAATATTTCGGTTTCTGAAAATGAAATGTTGGTATGAAAATATATTACAATGTAGTATATTTGCGGTGAAAATATAAGAGATAATTTCTTTTAATTATTTTGATAGGATACAATTAGGAAATTTATCGACTCCTAGAACATGATGTTAATTATAATACTTTTTCCTTTATTAAGAATGTAGTTCCTGTTGTTTGTTTATATTATCATGATTGCTCTTTTTGAAGATGTAGTCAAAATTCATGAAATACAAAATAAAGATTTCAGAACTCGTCAAAAATTTATAGTTTTTAGTTTTTTTCGACCAATGCCAACTGACTTCAACACCTGGGCTTTGTATCAGATAAAATTTAAGAATAACTAGAAGTTTAGTAATTCTCAATATTGGAAATATATTCTAATTTTCGATTAGAAACTCAAGACATTAGTTTATTCGTGCTTACAAAAACACATACCCAGTATTGAAAAATATTGAACTCCTAGCAATACTTCATACTAGTTGTTATTACTTTTAAACGCTCTTTCCGAAGCTATTCTTAAATTTTGTCAAATACAAAACGCAGGTCTCAAATCTGTTGGAATTACTTACAAAAATCTAAAAAATATGGATTTTCGACCAATTCTGAAGCCTATGTTTTACATTACATTAGTTTCGACTACAGCTTCGGATAGAGCAATCATGTTTGATATAAACAATAAAAATTGTGACAACTTTGTTCATTATCTGTTTATTTGTTTAATTTGTTCATCTATTTCATTAACTCAAAGTTTACACTTTCTCAACAGTTAATATTATTATCTAATATAAATCGTTGATTAGTTTTTATTTTTTTTCTGTTTCATATTCATTTTGTCTTAATTTAGTAAGACTTAATACGTCCTTTTGATTCTGTTGATTTAATCAATTCACAATGTTCTTACTGAAAACCGAATGTTTTCTTCTAAAAGTTAATCTTTTTTTGTTTATCTATTTCCGATGCATAAATACTATATTAAATCAATCAATCTTTTACATAGTCATGTCATTCCAGTCTGTATAACTTCTTTATCTTCATATAAAGACAATCTTCTGTTTCCTTTTAATTATCATGATAATATTAGTATGCAAAAAAAAAAACAAATACTAGTCACGATAGACAAACAGACCAAATTGAATAAAATAGATCACGAGTACTTGCAGACTGATGTGATTTGTAGCGTATTATAATAGGTCAAGTCATTAAGAAATAGACTAAATTATACCTCTGCGCGACAGAATATTCTGGTTTATTTTACTTACAATGCCTAATATATTCCAATCGAGTAATTCACTTAATCGCTCTGTACGATTACGTAAAATAATACGTTGTCGTCTAGTTAATAATGAAAAATCAAACATATACTAAAACAAAACAAAAAAGCAAAGATCAATTTTTTTTGAAAATGATTTTTCTTTAATTTTACTTGTGCAAGTTGTTGACATGATTCTTCACCACTTTTATATCTTCTATCAACAACATAAATTCCATATGTTTGAGGTTCATTAACATGTTCTTCCATAAAACATCCAAAACCACTTAAATTCGTTGAAATATTTGGTACACCCATAACTGTACATTCAGCTGGTGTATAACCCCATGGTTCATAATAAGATGGAAATACACCCAAATGACAACCACGTACAAATTCATCATAATCAAGTGGTAATAATGGACTTGTTGAACGTAAAAATTCAGGATGAAATATAACTTTAACACGATCTGAACGTGCATTAAATAATTGGCAACGACGTAAAGCCTTTAATATTGGATCCTGAACATCATCACATACATTATGTGTGCATATGGGTGGTAGTGTTGAACGCTAGAAAGAAAGATTTAATTTTTAAACAAGAAAATAAGACAATATTCATGATTATACTTGTGATGCATAAATACATTTTTTTAATTCAATTAAATCACTTGAATGTAAAATTTGTTCAGCAGTCGGAAGTTGACCTCTGACGAAATAAATTGAATGATTTATTATTTAGAAAATTTGTAAGTTCATAGATTAGCACTTTATTTTAATTTAGATTTTTCATATATACCGAGCATAGGATTATTATTTAAAATCAAATATCCTTAAATCAACAAAACATTATCATCAACTTTAAGGTTTTGCATATTAATATTTCATTGTTCGTATGTCATAAAAACTTGA